GAGGCGTGCCACATGGCGCAGGAGGCGATCAACGATGCCAATACCGACGCGTGACGAAAACTGCTCGAGATAACCACCAACTCAAGACAATATCAAGATGTGAAAAATCATAAAAAGCCTCTACGTTCCCCATAGACAAACTCGCCAAATGAAACAATGTCACACAATGGGCGACATTGACACCAAGCAAGCATAAGGCGAACCACTACGCGAACGTCTGCAACCCAAACATGTCGAACGAAGACAGAGCAGAAAACCGGCAACTCAAAGAGCAATTGAAATACTTACGGAACAATCCAAGGGCAGACCAGCCCGATTTCACTATCGCGGAACGGAAGAATGCCATTGTAAAGATGAAGTCCCGTGTATCACCCGGGCCAGACAACATCCCCCCGTCCTTCCTAAAAAAATTTGGTCCCAAAACGCTGGAGAAACTGCTCTCCATCTTCAACATGACATTTCGCTCAGCAGATGTCCAACAATTCTGGAAAGACGCCATCATTGTCCCCCTTCTAACGTGGTTTAGCCTCACGTCCTGTGTCATCAACGTTATGGAGATAGTGGTATCTGAACGACTGTACGATATGGCCGAGCGGAGCGGCTGGTTCTCCGAACTGCAGGCTGGTTTCAGGAAGAGAAGAGGAGTGGAAGACCAAATCCTGAGAATTACAAAGAAGATTTCCGATGGCTTCCAAAAGAAAGAGAAATCGGCACTCGTCCTCCTCTATTTTTCAAAGGCAAACGACATGGTCTGGTGAGAACGCCTACTCTACACCCTCCTAGGCAGAGTTATCCCAGATAAATACGTCCTCCGGCTGAATGACTTCCTTCAAAATCGCCCAGCCACAGCCCAATTGAACGGAATACTGAGTAAGAACAGAAAAATGAGCCAAGGTCTCCCACAGTGTTCCGCCCTGGCACCCATCCTCTTCGTTTATTATGTCGACGAACAGGCGAAACTACTTCCGGATGATCTCACAATATCACTCTTCGCTGACGACGCATCTATCCTCGCTTCATCACGCACGACACGAGACGCCGAAAGTCTGGTAAAAAGAGCGGTGGACACCGATGCTGACTGGAGCAGGCGATGGAAACTCATACTGAACGGCTGGAAGAGCGAGACTAAATTTTTCACGCTCGCAACATCTGACTAGGAATGGAAGCCGTGCATCACGATCAATAGTTCAACAATTATGTATGAGCCCTACGCAAGAATCCTGGGAGTCACACTCGACCGCAGGCTCACCTTCAACAAACAGGTTGAGACAGTAACAGCTAAGGCCACACAGAAGATGAGGATGCTCGGGGTTGTCGCCCACCCAAAATGGGGATGGAGAAAAGACGACCTATGCAAGGTCTACCTCACCTATATACAAAGTCTCCTCAACTTTGCGAGTCGCAGCTGGCAACCGTTGCAGAGCAAAACTCTGATAAATAATCTGGAGGTGGTTCAATACTGGTGTCTGCGACTGATCACCACCCAAGCCCAGTCCTCACCGATCGAGGCACTTCTAGCTAAAACGGGGGTTCCAAGCATTTAGTCCACCATCAATGCTAGCTGCCTCCGATCAAGAGAGAAGACGAATCGCGGTAACGGAAGAAGTGCACAGACGCCTATTGGGACGCAGAGATTTCCGAAAAAGGGCCGTAGACGCCAGCTAAAGAACCATATCTGTTAAACTGCGAGAGGAGGCCCATAACTTATTTCGAAACAAGGCCGTGGGAACGGGGAATCAACCACGACTTCGTTTTCCCCACCTGGACGGCATAAGCGGAAGGAGTTACTCCAGTGTGAAGATCCGAAGTGCTGCTCTTCCTCGAGCACGAGAGATTGGCGCACAGTTATGCTATCTACACTGACGGCTTGGAGAGTGCAGGAACAACGGATGGCGGCGCTTGGGTCGTCATCACAACGGGGGACCCGTCGTCCCGACCGTTTTCGAGACACTGGGGGAGAAAGGCGTTCTATTCACATGCTCTTTCGAGGAAGAGAGAAGAGCCTTGGAAATGGCCATTGACTGGATCGACAAACAGTGTGATGCATCCGACTCGGTCGCTATCTTAACTGACAGTCGATAGCTATGTATGGCACTAGTGAGAACATCACCATCCCTCGATCAAATACGATTACGCAAAAATAATACAACCCCTCAACCCACGATTCAGTGTATCTCTGGTCACTGCGAGCTCCTCAGCAACAATCTCACTGACAGTAATGCCAAATTGGCAACAGCACTGCAGGGTCCAGGCCGCAAAATTGCATATATGGAAGTGCGTGTGCCCAGATAAAACTGATCACAAAAGAACATCCGACATCCCACTCGCAGGAGAAGGAAATATAAAGGACAATTTCCTTAAAACGGCAGGATCAAATTAAGTCCCGCAGCGACCAGTCACTACTGGCAAAAATCAGGACTGGTCACTTCTCTGGGCTTCTGGACTACAAAAAATAGAATAGACAAAATGTCGGACACAATCTGTTCATTGTGCAGAGAGGAGCCCCAAGGTTTGGAGCACTGGCTTCAGAGATGCCGCGCCATGGAGGTCGGGCGATGGCATTTCTTTGGGGAGGATCCAGGGAGGTTAGACCGCCTCACCCGCTACCCAAGAGAGGCGGTGGCCCTGCGAAGGGCAAGCTCTTCGGGGCTCCAAACGGAGAGACTACCACTCACACACACACACACACACACACACACACACACACATACACACACACACACACACACACACACACACACACACACACACACACACACACAACAAAAACAACAACAACAACAACAATAATAATAATAATAATAATAATAATTATAACAATAATAATAACAACAACAACAATAATAATAATAATAATAATATTAATAATAATAGTAATAAAAATATAATGATAATAATAATAGTAATCATAATAGTAATAATAATAATAATAATAATAATAATAATAATAATAATAATAATAATAATAATAATAATAATAACAAAAATAATAAAAATAATAAAAATAATGATGAAAATAATAACAACAACAACAACAATAATAATAACACTGATGATGATGATCAATACAATGATGATGATGATGATGATGATGATGATGATGATGATGATGATGGTGATGATGATGATAATAATAATAACCACAATGATGATAATAATAATAATAATAATAATAATAATAATAATAATAATAATAATAATAATAATAATAATAATAATAATAATATAACAATAATAATTTAGGCCATAGAAGAAGAATAATTTTATCTGCTGTTTAATATCTGAAGGAGAAGAAGAAGAAGAAGAAGAAGAAGAAGAAGAAGAAGAAGAAGAAGAAGAAGAAGAAGAAGAAGAAGAAGAAGAAGAAGAAGAAGAAGAAGAAGAAGAAGAAGAAGAAGAAGAAGAAGAAGAAGAAGAAGAAGAAGAAGAAGAAGAAGAAGAAGAAGAAGAAGAAGAAGAAGAAGAAGAAGAAGAAGAAGAAGAAGTAGAAGAAGAAGAAGAGATGATGCGCCATGGACTGTCATCTCTTGTCGTGAAAAAAGACTCTTACAGAGCAAAACTACGCCCACCACGTTTTCGAAAAGTTCAAAAATGAACTTATGAAATGAAATCTGAACCAGGAAGATCGCTGCCATACAAAGGTGAGGTGTGAACACGTAACACAACTCTGTCATCTTCTCCTTCAAACAATGCCTGCTTTGCTCTGCTGTGACAGTGAGTTATCTCCTCTAGCCCAGACACCCAACTTTGCATTTTTTATGAGTTTTATTTTAAAACATGCAAACGTTCATCAAGACAAGTTGTTGAAAGTTTTACAGTTTTAAAACTTTTAGTGATATGCTAATGAGGGCGTCGCTGGCCATCTGTCATAGTGGCGTCCCCTGTCGTGGACAAGTGAGCAAACTCAGCTCCTTCCCAACTTACCCTCTCCCATCTCTACTCTCATATCCACCCCTCCCTCCCTACCCTTCATCCTTTTCCCTTTCCCTCACCTCTCTCCTTCCCTCCTCCCTTCTTCCCCTCCCCCACTTTTCCTTCTTCTCTTGACTCCATCCCCGTCATCCCTCTCTCCCCAACGCCCCCTTTTCTCTCCCTTCCTCTCCCCTCCCCTCCCTCCCTATACTTTTCTTCCTATCCCTTTTCTTTTTCCCCCCTTCCTTCCCTCCCTCACCTTCGTCGTCTTTGGAGTATACACACTTAGTTTTCAAGGCCGAGGTAAATCATAAAGGCGAACGATATTACAGAAACTGAGTTTGTTTCTGTGACAGACAGACAGACAGATAGATAGATAGATAGATAGATAGATAGATGGATAGATAGATAGATAGATAGATAGATAGATCGTTATCTGAGTTGCACTGTCATTACTAAACAAATGTATATTTGTCCCGTAATGCTGCCAGCAAACTGGCTCCCAGAGGTATACAATAAACGGGGCAGATAGCACCCACTGGCTGTCCCCCGGTTATTATCTCCCTTTTGGTTCGTTTTGAAGCTGTTGTGGTCCTGCACTGCAGTTTTGAAAACGAAATGATTAATATGGATTTAACGCCCTTATCAACACTATTAGGTTAATAAAGAGGAGGGACCTCCGAGTTTAATGTCGGCCTCCGAAAGGACCAAGTCAAGTGGGATATTCGAGTAAAGTGCCTTTACCAAGGACACAACATCGGACGATCTGAGGCTCGAACCCCCGAACCCGCAATGTCACGATTATGAGTCCGGTAGCCTAACCACTAGGCTACTGACGACATGCATTGCAGTTTTTAAGTTAAAAGTTTTCAAGTTTTCACAGAATATCTTTAAATAATAGTCATACGATGTCTCAGGGCGGACTGGCAAAATTTGTCGCTCGCTCTCAATATAACATTGTTAATGAAAGTGTTCAGTGGGGCAGATGGAACGTAAGATACGGTTCGAAGATCGCGTTGGCCTATTTTGGGGTTGTCAGTCCACAGACCACATAAGTTGGTGGTCTGTGTCTTCTTTCCTATAAAACAACGAACGCCTTTATCGCAAAACTTTAACTAAAACTAAGACCACGGAAACTAACACACACACACACACACACACACACACACACACACACACACACACACACACACACACACACACACAGAGAGAGAGAGAGAGAGAGAGAGAGAGAGAGAGAGAGAGAGAGAGAGAGAGAGAGAGAGAGAGAGAGAGAGAAAGACAGAGAGAGAGAACAAGAATGAGTTTGCATGTATGTGTGAGTTGATAATAATAGTAATAATAATAATAATAATAATAATAATAATAATAATAATAATAATAAATAATAAATAAATAAATAAATAGCATTTGTATAGCGCATATCCCCGCTCAACAGCAGGCTCTATGCGCTTTACACTATATTATTACCCCATCAGACCATAGGACACTCCAAAACATTCTCAGCTTCCCGGGAAGCATACAGTGCAACAGCTGATTAAGCTGATTTTACTATTCCATAAAAAGTTACATTTCCCTAATATGACAGGTTGATCAGCTGTGCTTGATTAAGTCTATCATCGCTTTTTTTTAAGCCTTGAAGGTGTACACATCGTTTAAAGAAACAACTCTCTGCCGGTTGTTACAAAAGCCAATGGATTTCTGGGTGTTACAGCTGTTGAAAAAGCAATTGCCGAGAGAGGCCATGATGTTCTGTTCGGTTAAATGACATTGCAGAGTCCGGCAAGTGCGAGGGTGCCTCACTTGCCTACCGCCCCCCCCCCCTCTCCCCGCCTTCTCTGTTTGT